TTTAACCTAAATATTCAGCACTAACTTACATAATATTCTTAAATTGTTAATATTTGATTTTTTACTAATATTGAGAAAAATAAAATTATTATTTTGCTACTTATGTCTGCAAATTTAGTATGAAATATTTTTAAGCCTTATATGTATAATATTTGTGCCCTGAAGAAGCATTTATAAGTGAATTAATATTTTGTTTAAGATTTGATTTTTTAAATTTTGTCCTTAATTCATATTAATTCTCTCGTCATGTACTTATAATTTTAAAAGAAGAGGACATTAGTTTTTAAGTTAAATTAGAACAATAAAAATTATACTAGTGGAATTAAGGACTTATACAACTTTATTTAGTAACAATTTTAAAAAATTCATATACACGCATAATGTTAACAAATATTAAATTCTCATAGTGGTTGTTATAATAAACACGTCAGTTCTTCGCGTATCTACTTGTACGTAATAACGTAAGGGTTCGAATTCGTTTGATATAGAGTTTTTGGTAGGAATCCTCGAAGAGGCACTAAAACGTCTGTGGAAAATTCTCTAAATATGAAGAAAAATTGTCTATTTAAAATGCATTTTATATGAAAAACAATAAAAACATTAAAGAAAGGAAATATCAGAAACGTAATTAAAAAATCTGGAACCTAATTAAGCCATATGCTTATAAAACATTAGAACGTTCCATTCTCAAAATTATAATTTTTATATGTATTAATATTCTATTATTTTAAAGAGAATCAACAAGATTTGCAATAATTAAGTTCTCTTCGCTAAATAACATCCTTGAAACGAAAATTTTAAAAAACATTTAAATTTCTCAATTCTTATTCTAATCCTTCTTTTAATGTGGTTAATTTAGTTTCTTTATTGTTTTTAGAAATGAGCCCATTAAGCTGAAAATCTTGAAATTTTAATAAAATTCATGAATTTAATTTTTAATCTCATGTATGTTATTCATTTTTAAATAATTTTTGTTGTTATTTTCTATTCAATCTTTCTCATTTCATTTAAAATAAATTTGTAATTTAAGATGCTCAGGAAAAAACTCTGTCAAAAAAATTTTCTGTTTCAAAATTTTTCAAAAAAATATTCTTTCACTTCCAAAATGCTATAATACAATTCAGCTTGTAATTGTAAATTGCAGACTTGTATATTAATACAGAATTACTGCATTTCGAAAGTCAAGGGTTCTTAATTACATTTAATAAGCTTATCAATTTATTGGACGAAAATTGTGATACTAAAATATGCTTTTGTGCAAGTCAATTGTTTGATACTAACTTATTTTTTTTTCGTGCTTATTTCTTTCATACGTCAAACTGAAAATATTCCTCTGCCATTGGATTTAAAATGAAATTTTTGGTTTAATTTTAAATCTTGGAATAATTTTTCGTTAATATCTACATAAAAAGAGCTTAATATAATAGCTTAAGTGTTTTCATTAATTTTAGATTTTCTTCCCAAAATTATTCTGACGAAAAACAGTTCGGTGAACTTGATTTAAGTAAAAATTTAAAATTCATGAATATCATGACTTTAATATTTAATTTTAAATTCTTATAAATTGTAAATAAAATAAAAGAATAAACCTGTATAAATTATCCTTTTTTACTTGACTCTATAATATAAAAGGCTATAAAAATTATGCGAATAATTATGTCAAATAATTTTAAAGAAGGTAAGCATATAATATAACAAGGATATTATAGAAGGCTCCAATACCTTAAACTTGTATTAAAAATAACTAAACAAAAAGTATTTAAAATTGTTGGGGGGAAAATTGTTTTTTCACTTTTTTGTTGTTTTTTTTTGTTTTCGACTTTGTCTTCAAAACTATGTAAATTTATTATCATTTCTTTTGTTTTTTCTTGATAATAACAATAAAATCACAAAGGGATAGAATTCCAACTTTTCTAATCCTTTTTGTTTTTCGTATAACAATTTTTTTTTTTTTCTGGTTTAAAAAATTTAAAATTTCTACGAAAAATACTTTAAATTTGGCTTGTATAAAACATTTAGATTGTATTAAATTTTTTGTGTCCTGCAATAAAGGTAAATTTTATCTATAGTATTTAAAAAAAAAATGTCTTTAAGAAGAAGATGCTTTTATATTTAATGGTAAAAAAAATATTTTTGTTTTTTCTTATAATTTAAAGTAAAATTCAAATTTTGTGCAAAAAATATTTTCTATCTACAATTTTTCAACTGGTCCTTAAAAATTTATACAAATACTTAATATAATTTTCATCTCAAAACCCAAAGATGAAGCTACAAACAATTTTATAAAAGTATTTGCAGAAAATTTAAAGAAATCAAAGCGCTATTATGTATTTTTTGATAAAAATTTATTTTTTTCAAAATTGCATATATTTAGGGGCATTTTATATTATTTGCTAAATTGCATATCTACTATTCAAAAATGTCAATTTTTCTTATAGGATCATAGCTAATACTTGATTATAAAGAAATGAAAAAGAATTTGAAATTGAAATTTCTGTTGAGATTAATGTAATATTGTGTACAGTAATTGGTAATATTTCAAATAATTTTCAAGAAACTACACATAAAACTAAAAATTTTATCTGTTAATTTTGTATTACTGATGATTGCTCACATCCACAGCATTAATTTTAGTTAACCGAAATAAGTTAATTAAATTTTCTGAAAATTTCAATATTAAAGTCAATAGAATATTTCATCGTTTAGAAATTATAATTTCATTAATCTCGAAACTATGTATAGCAATCTAAATATACTGAACATTTCATCTACTAGAAATCATATGAAAAATTTACTCACAATATTGAGAGAACTGTAGGCAATGTAGTTTTGTTATACCATCATTATTTTTGAACAATACGTAAGTATATCACTCTAAGTGTATAATATTATTTCAAATACAATCATTGCTCTGATTTTAAATTGATAATACAATTTTGTAACTTTTAGTTTATTAAATTTCAAAGTTGAAATGATTATACAGCATACAAATGGATTTTTTTTTTTGTTTTTTTACTATTTAACATTAAATTCTATACGATATGGAATACTCTGGTCGCGTTTACATGTATGTGAATGCATTAAAATACTTTCAGTTATAAAATGTTAATATTATGATTGTAATCGAGGACTCTTGAATATCCGGAATATAGCAATTTGAAAATCAAAATACCTACTCATAATAAATATTTTCTATTATGTTGTACATAAGCATAATGGTATGCTCCAACTAATGTAAGTTTGAATTTTCATATTATGAATATAGCTTTTAAAACCTATTTCGAAAAAAAATGAATAAAAAACAAGGAAACGTATACATAATAATATTCCATATATGTACGTAGAGTGCACCTTAAGGCATATTTACTTTTTATTTTATGAATAAAATAATAACAGTAATAGAATAAAATTCTCTTAAAAGTACAGTAAACTTTGCAACAGATGGAATTACTTTTAGATTGTGTAAGCGATAAAAATATGCAAATAAAAATAAGTATAAAAAACAATAAAAATTCCGGATTTTATTCTCCTCCCACAGTAGATTATTGAAGCGGTTTTATTATAAGGTCTTATCACAATATTGTAACTGGATTGTTTTATGTTTTTAAATGCTGTTCTATAATCATAACTTCAGTGACTTAAAGAGAAATTTTTTTCTGATGAAAATTTAAAATCTTAATATTATAATTTAAATTAAACTAATTTTTAGCATATTTATTTTTGGTGTGTTACAGATTTAATTGCATGCTTCTACCTTGAAAAACACGAATAAACTATTCTCGAAAAAATTATTAGTGCTCTGAAAAGTGCCCAAATTCCTTAAAAATTATGAGAATTAATTTTTTATACAGGAAATCCCGGACCATCTGTTTCTAACGCCCTTATCGCTGCCTGACTTTTCATAAAAATGTTGATGCACCTGCGTAATATAGCATTGTCCGCCAACCATTTCAAAATGCTGTTTATTGCGACCACCTGAAAAACGCCAATGACCTGGAAGGCGAAAAGAGATCTCCACACCAAGTTATTTGGAGTAGACTCATCTCGCAACCCTATCATTAAACTTGGATTCAGTAGATGTATAGGAGTAGATGGAACCGTCCATATTATGCCTTCACACCTCCCCAGGACTTGTCTTGATGGGGTGAAGTCTTTCGCGAATGAAAGCGCATGAGCGACCTAGTCAAAATCTGTGCCACAATTCCGCTGGTTTACAGTGCGACCTCTTGCTCCACAAGGTCGCGGGACCATTGTGATACAGCCCTTATGACGAACAGAAGGTTCTGCGACAATCTTCTTCCCTAGAATATCAATAGGAAAAAAATGAAAAAGTATCTCGAGGGTCTGTGAATGAGCTAAACACAGCACTCTCTCTATGCACATCAATGTCATCCTTTGAACTATGCTCGCCAGATTGATGGACCCGTTCAGCACAGGTCACCATACCAGAATTAAGTACATAAGTACAGGCATCACCACGGCGGTGTAAGCCAAAATGAACCACGTGTGGCTCAAAGCTCCACCTTTTCCCGATAGCTCGCTTGCACGAATAAAGCGCGGCAGTTTCTTTCCTCACTGGCTCCTTAATGTTTGACACGCAGTTCACGTTACAGTCCAAAATTAATTTCAAAAACTTAATTTCAAAGGAGAAAGATGGCCTTATTTCATCCAGTTTTATTAACGAAATTAAGAGACCCAAAGACAGTCACCGCCAAGTCGTCTGCGTCACTTTGTAGCCTTCCCTTCCTAGGTGTAGCAAAAGCTGATTCACTACAAGATTCCAAGGAAGGCGAGAGAGTACAACCCAAGAGGGTTCCCCATTCCGACGGATCGCTCAATATACGAACCCCTCAAGATGCCCCTTGATAGTCCTGCCTGGCGGCATACGTTCTGTCAAAGACGTCAGGAAGTCACGAACTGGTACGTTCATGGTCTATATAAAAAGAAATCTTCTATTTATATTAATTTTATTTTTTTAATTTTATTCAACTACTTAAAATATATATCACACCAAATTAAATTTCATAATAAAAACAATATAAATTTCAATTTGAAAACTAAGATTTTTCTTCATTAGATTTCTCTGATGAATTTAAACTTGCTCTAATTAAACCAGATAATACTTGTCTTGTAAATTTTTTAATACCTAATTGATCTTTGTTACTAAAATCTACCAATGTTTCTTGTATTGTTCCTTTAATATCTTCTGATATAGTTGTTGTAATTCGATCTCGAAATAAATTTGTAATCGGAGTTAAAACAAATGTACTGAGCTCTTGAACAACTCGATTATGATTTAATTGAACAATGATGTTTCTAAAATTAAATATAAGAAAATAAAATAATTTAATAATTTTAATATTTTTAATATCATAATAAAATTTACCCGAATCTTTCAATTTGAAAATCATTCAATTGTAAAATAGGATCTCTTACGTCTACTGAAAAATCACATGATACTATAATATCTTCCAAATGTCCAACAACACCACCCATTACACTGACAATCATTGCTTTCGCAATAAAATCATATTCAAACTGAAAATATAAAATGAAAATTTTCATAAAATTGAAATTTTTATATTTTAACAAATTGTTTAGAATTAGACAATTGCCATAAAGTAAGCAAGTAAGAAAGAGGGCTCCACCCGTACACCCACGCAAAGCCCACGCACTAGGCCAACAAAAAAAAAAAGCCCATCGGCAACCCCCCAAAAAACCCAACACCCAACAACCCCCATGCAGTTCGACACACAAGACCCCCTATCCCAACCAACCAACCTACTTGGCGAAGCTCAAAAGCCGCACAAGAGACACCCCGAAAAGGTCCTCCAGGCCGTCGTAAAAATAAGCCCCCAAGACACGCCTTCTCTTCCATATTAGAAACGGACCGGCACAGAGGACATGCTGCACATCCTCCACCTCCTCCACATCCCGACATTCACGACATACATCCGTCATAGCAACCCCAAGCCTCCTGACCATTTTTCCCAAAAGGCAATGCCCCGTCAGAATCCCCACTAGTGTGCTGAGATCAGCCCTATTATATCTCAACAGCATCCTCGTCCTCCTTTCGTCCCTGATAGGCCACATTGCCCTGGTCACCCTACACGTGTGAGCCTCCGCCCACAAGACCCCGCTCCTCCTCCTACACTCACCATCTATGACGGCAAGATAAGCCCTCAGCGGCAGGCGAACCGACACGTCTACCATGTCAGCATCACCGCCAGCGCCAGCCCTCGTAAGATGATTTGCCATCTCATTACCTCGTATCCCGCTGTGACCGGAAACCCAGCACACAGTTACCCTGCACATAGTACGAAGTACCCTAAGTGCCCCCCGCATCGACGCACCAAAGCCGACCCAACCGAACAGGACGCGAAGGCCCCAATTGCCATAGTTGTTGCTTCCATGATCTCATTTTCGATAAAATGCTAGTGCAAGTAAAATTAATAAAGTTCTCGTAATTTCAATTGTTATGTAATTTATATTCTTGGAATTAAAAGTAAAATTATTGCCACTCAAATTGAAAACTAAATTTATAAACGTTTATCATTTTATTATGACAACAATTCCCAAAAAAAATAATGGTTCCTCTGCAAGTTATCTATAATAAAATAAACTTTTATTATAGAAAATAAGGTATTCTACAAAGACCATCTTCACATAAAATTTTTGTTTATTGTAAAATTAACTGTGTAATTGTAGGTATTAAATTTGTACAGCCTATATTTTATAACACTTATCATTACCAAAGTGAAAAATTCATCCATACTCAAAAAATATTCGTTCACATGGTCTTCAAATCAGAGTACGTGTAAACAATAAAAATATCAAAAAAAAAAATAGATCTGAATTAGCCCATAGGGAGTTTGGGTTGAAAATAAAAATTTAAAAAATATAAAAGTATTTTTCTCATCAATTATGTAGTTATAGTCCATTGACATTGACTACATGTACTGGTTGACCTAAAATAAATGATAGTTTATTCATGAAAGTTGCTCACACATTTAAACTACGTGAAAAAACTAACAAATAATATTTTTTATACCTTTAATATTATTGGGCTTCAAAAGTGGAATGATTTTTAAAGATTAAAGCAATGACCTGTCCGAAGACAAAAAAAAAATTTTTTTTTGTATCCTTTGAAAGGGATTTTATTATTTTGTGTATAAGACAATTTTATAGTCAGGCAGGCTTTTGTAAAGATATAAATATTTACTTGGTATATAAAACCGCAGGAAAGGAGTCTTGCAAATTTAAAAAAATTTCAATAGATAGGAAATAAAATGACAGAGTTTCTTTCCTGAAAAAGAAGTTGTAAGATAGGAGTAGAAACTGCAGGATGACTCAGTGCTAAATTTGGAAGATTGTAACTCAAGTACTTACAAAATTTTAGCTTCTAACCTTATGATTACAAATCTAATTCAAGCCTTACTATAGAAGACCAGATATGGAAACGTTTTCTTAGTTAGCCACAGTAGAAAAATACTGTTTTGGGTGATTCCACCTTTTCTGGATATATTATAAGGAAAACAGCATTATAAACAACTAGAACAAGGGTACAATAGTAGAAACTTCAAATAAGTGCAAAAAAAAAACAAATTAGCAAAAAATTTAAACAATTTTTCATCTTTTTTTTTTGGTTACTCACATAGATCGTTCTAGGTGTTCAAATGTTATTAATAACAACACGTTCACATATGTGTAGTTAAACTGTCCGAAAACTTATTCTTATACTTGGCCTTCAATAATCTTATGATTTCGTTCAAGAGATATTTTGTTATACTTGTTATGTATACAACAACAAAAAGATATTTTGAAATAAAAAAAAAAATTTAGCCAATAAATCTTTAAAGAATGCACGGAAAAACTTTTTCAGCTTAAAAATTCTAGAAATGTAAAACACGTAAAGCAATGGGAAAAGTAAGAAAAATTTCTTTAGATATGTGTGTGTGTGTATATATAAATAAGTACATAAATATCGCTATTTTATCATTCTATATATTAGAATTTGCTTCCAGCTATAGAAAAAAAAATTACTGAATGTACACAGGGCTGAATTAAGGATGTGAATTAATGTGATAAATTCAACAGTTGCCTAAACCCCAAGAAATGACAGTAATTTTGAGTAAGTATTCAATCTATCTATATACAATTGAAGGAGAACTCAGAATTTTTTGTAAACGCTCTTCACTAATAAACTTTTAATCCAATTTGGAAAGTTATTCAGAACGGTCCCGCGTGTTGGTATAGATATAAGTCAGAAAACTATACTAAAATTGAGTTATTCTATAATTGAAGGTCGACTAGGTTATAGACGGCATTGTTTGGAAAGTCTTGGTAAAATTTATAACTTTTTATTCCAGGAGAATTTTAGAAATCAAGCGGACGACGTCATAAACCGTGACAAATAAACAAATATGTCAGATATAGCTTTACGCACAATATACAGTTTTTACAGTTTCGGAAATTTCAACAATGCGTCACGAGTTAACAAGAGTATTATTTAGAGTAAATTCGATTAACAAAAAAAAAAATAAATAATTTCAATTTTATATTTTTTATACAAATCTACTTAAACAAATATGTTAGACGTACCCATGTTAAACTACCTATTAGATCAGAACCTTGGGAATGCCTCTGGCAGCAAACATAGAAAAAAACGTTGAAACTTTACGAAAAATAACTTTATTCTATTTCTATTTTCTCTTCTTTAAAAAGATTAAAGGCCTTTTATCTTTCTATATTTTTTTTTTATCTTAAAGAATAACTTTTACCTTTTAACAATTGAGAAAAGGCTTAATGCGAAATAAAAGAAAAAATTTAATATTACACACATTTACATATACATACGTATGTATATATGTATATACAAATTTTTTTTTTTTATTTTTCGATTATATATCAGGATCAAAATTAATACCTTATAGATAACAACTTTTTCCTTATATTTTTCACGTTTTTCCAAAGTAATATAAGAAAATATTTGAATACAAGAGATTGAGTATATACGATAGAAAATTTCCTTTATATACACTTTATATCTATTTATATTTGTACCACAAATATTTACCCCATACCGTAAAATTTTCTCTTTTTCGTTTTCAACTGATAAACACTTAAAACCAGAAAATGTGCGTGAAAATATTTTTAAATATTTATTTTATTTGAAATTTTTTCTATTCCATATGAGCTCAAAAAGAAAAATAATATATTTGATATGAAATGGAATCAAAAGTGTGTATGTATATAGAAAAAAAAAATTTTTATATTGTTACAATAATATTTTGTATATAAGTGTTGTTATATCATAGAACAGGGGGCTTCAAATTAAAATCTTAGTAAAATATTCAAAATAATAATACTGTAAGTAAAAGTGACTCGCCACCTTTATAAGTTATACCGAAAATATAAATCATTTTTCCAGGGTTTGCCGCAATTAAAAATCAAAATTTCTTTTTCAGTTAATAAACCACTTTTTTAGTGGAATTTTGTGTGATTAATCCTGAAAAACGCCTATAATAATATTTGTGAAAAAAGAATAGTATTTTACCACAACACTAAGTGATAGTGATGTTTATCGTAAAAAATTTTGAAAACTTTATTATAGACACGAATCATTTGTATGAATTGGTTTGTATTTACAATAATAATATCGAATTTCTTACGATATATTAAATTACTATCACTTAGTGATTCGAATAAGACCCAATATTCTAGATCATTATGTTACAAGAAATATTCACGAAACTTAAATCAGTGCGGTAATAAGGCGAAGAATATTACATTTAATTTAAATAAGGCGTACAACATTGTCCGAATCAAAATTTTCAATAAATTTTCTTTTAGACACAAGGCATTTTAAAATGTTGTCAGCTAATACCCGTTTAAAACAACAACAATTCACTACTGAGACATCTTGTGTACAAATTCATATTAAAGAGTAAAAATGAATTCTGCCCATCCTATTAAATATGATATTTTAAGCTACATATTATTTAATATAATATAAATATCGCACACGTTAACCATTAATTCAACTTAAAACATAAAATGAACATTCACGTTTTTTCATATATATATATTGTATTTACGTTATTAAACATACATAAATGCCTATATATAGCTATACCGTATAATTTACGTATACATTCTGTGTTAAATAAACTTGATACAAATAATAAATAAATAAATGATTTATGTATCATTTTAAATGCTTAAATGCAAACACATAATGTGATATATTATAGAGATAGGTATAGTTTATATACTTTCCTTTTGTATAATAAATTATGAAACGATCATCAATTTAATCTAAAATGTCTAGAATATCATATACGATTATTACTCATAATGATAGTTATTTAAATAATTAAAGTATTTTTCGAGTTTTAATTTAATGCAATATTGAATTTGATTTATTTTTATTCAATATTTAATTAAAAATATAATTTATTAATACAAGATTTATTTCAATCAATTAAATTTTGAACCCGAGTAGTTTGTTTTCTTTAAACTTCAATTCACCATAGCTG